TTGAACTTTTAAATTTACCAGCAACAGACTACACACCATTCTCTTATGTAAAATGATGATTGATTTCTGTATAGGTAAAAGAGTTTTAGTTGTTTCCATTGTTTAAGCCCAAATCTAAACGAGGTAAGTTACAGACACTGAATAGATAATTCTCAGAGCACAAAGAAGCCAGAATCTCCACTTTGACCAGGTTATGCTTTGCCAAGATAGTCTCTGAGGAAGACAGAAAACTCAAATAGTTATAGAAAAGACATAATGTTGAGAAAAGAATACGAATAAACAATGGTACAGACAGAGAAATGTGAATGATGGTTTTACAGGCTGAGGAAGAGAGGATTCAGCTAAGTGCTTTAGGAAACAGGGACTAGAAAAAGACACAAAGTGGGGCTAGAGAGATGGCTCAGTGGTTAATAGCATTGATTGTTCTTCCAGAGGTCCTGAGTTCAATTCCCAGCAACCTCATGGTAGCTCACAACCATCTGTAATAGGATCAGATGCCCTCTTCTGGTGTGTTTAAAGACAGCTACAGAACTCATATACATAAAGTAAATAAATCTTTAAAAAAAAAGAAAAGAAAAGAAAGAAAAAGACACAAAGTGAAAAGCCTTCAGTCATCTTTCCCCAGTTAATTTAAAGGAACAACATTTTGTTTCAACTTTTATTAGTTACATTTTCTTTTGTGAGCATGACTCATGGGTACATGGGAGGTTTCTTTTTAACCTTTCTATATATCCTTAAATATTTTATATTTTTAAAAGTATATAATTGCAATAAAAGCCATTACTTTGGCAAAAAAATAAAAAGCACTTTCCATTTACAACTGCCTAAGGTTATCTTAATTAAAATTAGTTCTTATTCTCTAAAATTAAATTTAAAAAAAGACTTGCTTGGTGTGAAAGTTTAATACCTCAGAAATGTAAAGATCAGCTTGTTTCAGCAGCTCTCCGATGATCAGGACGTTTGAAGTAGTGCCGTCCCCTGTGATGTGGTCTTGGGCTGCCGCCACTTTTGCTATGACAGAAGCCGTTGGGTGTTGGATTTGCTGGAAAAGGTAAACAACAGATTTAAAAAGACAGAAACTGTGATGAAGAAGGCCACTAAATCCAAGATACCCCAAGGGTCAATGGTAAAATTAACAAACAAACTTCATGCTGCACATTTACAAGTTACAACATTTAGTAAATGTCAAATCCAGAGTTTTAAAGTTGAGAATTAATGAGGTTTGAACATTGTATGAAAGTCTTTGCTTCAAACTGCAATGACATTTCCGAGAAGAGATTAAGCCCTTCAGTCTCTAAGAGGAATATTTTTACGAACACTGCCAAGGACTTTTTCCTTTTGCATGATTACAAAGACTATAATGAAGTACTCTGAAAAAGATGTTATTAATTTGTAAGTCTCCCTAAGCTATCAGACTCTATAAACATTTGAAAACAGCCAAAAGTCATTCTGTTGAGGTTTAATCCAACAGCCATATCTTAAGAGTGCAGTATTTAGTTGGTAGCCTTAAAAATACAAATTGTGGTCAGGTGGTCTTGGGGCAATCAATCAATCAATCAATCATCCCAAGGAAAAAAAAATGTTGGGCTAGAGAGATAGCTTAGCTATTAAGAGTATGTTCTGCTCTTCCAGGAAGTGGAGTTTGGTTCCCAGGATACAAAAGTGGCTCACAATGACCTTAAGTCCAGCTCTAGGGAATCTGACACCATTTTCTGGCCTCTGCAGGTACCAGCATACATATGGCAACCACTCATACAGATAGACCCTCATACATATAAAATTTAAAAAATCAATAAATCCTTAAGATATAAATTGTAAGGTTGAAGGTGTAGCTTAGTGGTAAAGAGCACTTGCCTAGCATATGAGGGCCCAACGCTCAATCTCTAGCATTGCAAAAAAAAAAGTTTATACTTCAAGATAAGGTTTCTCTGTGTAGCCCTGGCTGTCCCAGAACTTGATCTGTAGAACAGGATAGCCCCAAACTCAGAGATCTGCCTGTCTCTACCTCCTGAGAGCATGTCCCATCAAGCCAAGCTAATTTTTTTTCTTTCACTTATGTGCATTGGTGTTTTGCCTGCATGTATGCTTATGTGAGGAACTGGAGGTGCAGACAGATGTGAGCTCCCATGTGGGTTCTGGAAATTGAACCCAAGTCGTCTGGAAGAATAGCCAGTGCTTTTAACCACTAAGTCATCTCTCTAGCCTGTCATAAACAAACAAACAAACAAACTTGCGAGTGTACCTCCTCCGTCCTTAATGTGAACCTAGAGTCTCGCACATGCTAGGGAAGTGCTCTACCACTGAGCTGCATTCCCAGCCCATGTGCCATGCTTTTAATTAAGGCTTATACGATTTATCAAAGCCAGCTGCAGCTGGGAAGTGTGTCTAATACCTGAATCCAACACTCAGGAGGCTGGGGCAGGCAAGAATGGAAGGGGGGATTGTGAGTTTGTAGCCAGCCAGGGCTACATAGGCAGATCCTGTCTGAGAGAAGAAAATGAAAAAGAGCACTAGCTCACCATCTCATGAAGTAGTACATTGCCATCTTTGGTGAGTTTGATGTCACCTGCCCCAGAAACAAGCCTGTAAAAAGAACAATGGTACTTATTAACTACACAAGCCAAGAATCAAAGAACACTCCGAGTTCTTGCCATCCATGGTCCTAAACACAGATGACTAGGCTTGGAAAATTTACACTGAACCATGGGGTGATATGTGGTAGTGACTGCCACTTGTGTCTCATGGAATTATTTCTCCCTGATGACATTATAGTAATCTCATTCCAAACGGAGCATTTATGGGTTTAAAGAGCAGCTGATGAATTCTACACATTGGCTAATGAAAAGTATAAAACAGGGCTGAAGAGATGGCTCAGAAGTTAAGAGGTTGCTCTTCTATAGGACCTGAGTTCAACTCCTAGCAACCACATGGTGGCTCATAACCATCTATAATGAGATCTGGTGCCTCTTCCGGCATGCAGGCATACATTCAAATAGAACATTGTATACATAATAAAAATAAGTGTTTTTTTTTAAAGTATGAAACAGAGTACAAATCTACAAATTTGTGTAGGTTTTTATCTTGGTGAATGTCATGATTCAGTCACTGAATTTAGCTGTCTCATCCTTCGCATTTGTTAAAGCAACAAGCTCTGTCAATTCCACAATTAAAATGCCTTTGGAGCTGGGCAGTGGTGGCGCATGCCTTTAATCCCAGCACTTGGGAGGCAGAGGCAGGCAGATTTCTGAGTTCGAGGCCAGCCTGGTCTACAGAGTGAGTTCCAGGACAGCCAGGACTACACAGAGAAACCCTGTCTAAAAAAAAAAAGATAAAATGCCTTTGGATCTCTTCTCTCCAATTTTATTGTTATCCTTCCTAGACTGCTTAGATGGTATCTTGTCTCCAAATTTGAATCAACCCTCCATGTTATGTCTTTCTAAGAGGCAATGGGACTCAGTTTCCTGACCACCAATCCTTCAAAGATGTTACATTTTCTACCATCTTCAAGATAAAAATCCAGGTAATTTAGCAGTAACATACATGGCCTTTTCCAAGCTCTCCTGTTCCATCGACCATTTTTCCCACAACAGGCCTTTCAGTTCCTTTAATGCATTATAATGTTTATTTCTGATGAACGTGCACCACTGGGAGGCCTTGATTCCTGTCATTCTCCTATAACTCTGATCAAACATCCCCTGATATCTGAGAGGCTTTTCCTTCAATCATCGGTAATTGGACCCTTTCCTCTGTAAAAATCATTTGCATCTCTATATAATTGACATACCTGTCACTGCCATGTCACTTTAAAAATAGATACCATCTCAAGGGCTAGAGAGATGGATCGGCAGATAAAAGCACTTATTATTTTTGCAGAGGATCTGAGCTTGGTCTCCAGCACCCACATCAGATGGCTTACAACTGCCTATAGCTCAAGTTCTAGGGACCTGTCACTCTCTGACCTCTGCGGGCATCTGCACACCCCTGATGCACATAAACTCAGACAGATGTACACACATAAATATAAATCAATTTTTAAAAGAAAAGAACAGAAAACTATTTCATCTGTTTTCTAGTATCTGGTGTTAAGTGGACTCGTTTACTATTAACGCTAGTTTGCTCATTCCTCTCAGGGTGTGTCCTTCCCAAGAGACGTTTTGATCTCCCCTACTCTTCTTTCCTTTCTTCATAAAACAATGGTGTTGAATAAACATTTATCCAAATGCATGACTAAACATGAAGAACTGTAGGTACAGAGAGTTGCAAGAACTTGACCAAGTACCAACAGCTGGCAGATAATGGAACTTGAATTTGAACCTATGACTGCTTAGTTCCAAAGCTAGTACCACACTCCGCCACGTCAAAACAATACTGTCTGCGGCGGAGCTGCAGCTCAACGTCCGCTGAGCGCGCGCACAAGGCTAAGTTCATCCCCAACAGGAGAGGGATGGAGGGAGCGTCAGAAGCGTTTTCAACACTCAACGTTTCCAGAGACCCGCATTAATGAATAGCCTGTTTATGAATCTTAGTGAAAAGGGGATGGTGACACAACTTCTATTGATGGAGTCTTTTCTTCGAAAAGGCGTTCTCTTCCTCGGCTAGAGAACTCTAAGAGCAGGAATGAGAGGGAGGAAAACCGGGTGTCTAAGTGTCGCAGCATTGCTCACAGGTTTTCACTGATCAGCATCAGAGGGAACTGCGACACCCCGCACACCCTAGCGACATCTCACATTTTTAGCGCGCCCTTAGGACCCAAGCTGGGACGCAGCACATCCTGCAGCCCTCGGGCGGCGCATATGTTCACAGCCAAGGCCGCCTGGCTCCGCGTCACTTCAGCCCCAGGGTTGGCAATTTTGATCGCAGCCATGGTTCAACGGTCCAGCCCCTAACTTGCGGACTCCTTGCCCTGGCGCCACGCCCACACTCCTGAGCTTCGCCCAATCGGCGCCATAACAGGAAGTGACGCTATCACGCCTCGGAAGCTAGACTCGCTTGAGTCCTGCGCGCAAACATGGCGTCCTCCACCTCCGCTCGGACACCGGCGGGGAAGCGAGTGGTGAATCAGGAAGAACTGAGGCGGTTGATGAAGGAGAAGCAGCGCCTGAGCACCAACCGGAAGAGGATAGAATCCCCGTTCGCCAAATACAACCGTCTGGGGCAGTTGAGCTGCGCGCTATGTAACACCCCGGTCAAGAGCGAGCTCCTGTGGCAGACCCATGTTCTGGGAAAGCAGCACCGGGAGAGAGTAGCGGAGCTGAAAGGCGCCAAGGGAGCAACCCAGGGCCCTTCGGCCGGCACTGCGCCTCAGCCCACCAAGAGGAGAGCGACGGATGAGGAGAGCCAAGACGCCAAGAAAGCCAAGGCCTCCGTGGGGCCTCAGGTACAGCCCTCCACCTCAGCCTCGTCCGCCAACTTTGAGAAGTCGGGAAAAGAGGCCTCTAGGGCGGCCCCCAGTAAACCTGGACTCGGTTTACTCCCTGATTATGGAGATGAGGAGGAGGAGGAGGAAGAAGAACAGGGAGGTGGGGAAGAAAGAAGAGACAGCAGCAAGCATCTTCCCGATGCACAGGGCAGAGAACACTCGCTTGCCTCTCCGAGGGAGACAACAAGCAATGTGCTGCTAAACGACCCCTTTAATACAAATCCTCCCAAGGCCCCCTTAGTTCCTCATTCAGGGTCAATTGAGAAAGCAGAAATACACGAAAAAGTGGTGGAAAGGAGAGAGAACACCGCCGAAGCATTACCAGAAGGATTCTTCGACGACCCTGAGGTAGATGCAAAGGTCCGGAAGGTTGATGCCCCAAAGGATCAGATGGACAAAGAGTGGGATGAGTTTCAAAAGGCTATAAGGCAAGTCAATACTATCTCTGAGGCGATCGTGGCTGAAGAGGATGAGGAGGGACGGTTGGACCGGCAGATTGGAGAGATTGACGAGCAGATAGAATGTTACCGTCGAGTGGAAAAGCTGCGGAATCGCCAGGATGAAATAAAAAACAAACTTAAAGAGGTTTTGACCATAAAAGAACTTCAGAAAAAGGAAGAGGAGAATGTGGACAGTGATGACGAGGGAGAATTACAGGATTTGCTGTCTCAGGACTGGAGGGTAAAGGGGGCTTTGCTGTAAGGTTTTGAAGACCCGAGATTTCCATCAGTCTCCGATGTCCCTTAAAAAGTGCTGTGTCCAAGTTCTTGGGTTCCTCTGTCCTTGGATACACTTGATTGTTGGGATAAAGTAATCGAGTGAACAGTAATACTTTGGGGATGGTACTGCGTGCGGTGCTATTTATTATAAAATGTTTGAGGTAAAACTGTTTTTGACATTTTTGAAATTATAACCACAAATTGCCAAGTTTTTCAACTTTACAGGCTCAATGTGGTTTTTCAGTTGTAAAATCTAAATTGTAAATATTGCACATAGCTAAGTATATATTTATACAAGTCACTCTTTTGAACCTTACAGAAGTCAGATTAAAAAAGACATTTATATGACCTCGATGTATGTGTATTTTCAAGCCTTAAACTCCGAAGGGTTGGAGCTTTGGGAAGGTTGTTTTTAGAAGGCTACTCATAAACACATATTCTTCATAAATTTTGTTTTCAAAAGCATACAAATGTCCAATGTCCTTAAGCACAGTGTTTCTTTTGGTAAGACCAATAATTGTTGTCATACATCAGTATCACCTGTGAAACTTTTGGTGGTTCATGGAATGTCAAATTGCCCATGAAGCTTTAGTGCCTGAGCCCTCTTAGAGTCCATAAATCTAAATGAGATACAGATGACAATATTCCCACGTTATTCTAATATATGCCAAAGTTAGAGATTCAGCTGCCCTAAGTGTAAAACCCATTTATATATGTTTTCAGACTTTGTTTTCCTTGAACATGTTCTGTAGTTGCTCTTGTACTCCCTGCCCCGAGTGGTGCTGAGCAGATCAGGGCTATGGAAATGCTAGGCAAGTATTCTACCCCCACCAAGCCGGTTTTTGAATGAAGGAAATATTACCCCGTTTCATTATTACCCCATTAAGTCTGAAATTTTATTTTTGTGGTAAATTAGTCTTGTGTTTACAGGTTCTTTCAACGGCAAGAAGATATGTAAGTAGCTAGGAAAGCAATGCCAGTCGCCTTATTCTAGTTATTGATAGTTTAAGGTATTGATCCTTGCTTTGGAGGATGAGGTGTTCAAAAAGGAAAATAAGCAGCAGTGTTTTATATACAGCATCTTCCAACTTACTGTTACTGATAGTAGCTAAGACATACTGTTCTAAACATAGGCTAGACAGGATTCTAAGTACTCTACATATATTAACTCATTCAAGTTCAGATTGTATAAGGGGAACCACTAACAAGAAGAAAAAGCCTGAAACCCTTGAAAACTGGATGTGCTGCCTCTCACCTGACATCTCAGCTTTTGGAAAGCCAAGGGAGATGCAGCCTGTACTACATAGTGAGACCCTGTCTAAAATGAAGGAGAAAAAAAATCCTTTAATTCTCAAGAATTAGTTTTACAGGCAATGTGGAAATAAATGGAGGATTTTGTTTTGTTTTTAAACTGAAGAATTCTGTGACAGTTTGGTGTTACTCTAGTTGTAGTGTATGGTATGAGAGGAGTCTCAGAAACTGGGAAATTATGTAGATAAAACTTCAAAAGTAAAGTGACTGGTTAGTTATGGACTAAGGGGGTGGGAAATAATTTCTCAGGAAGAACTAACATGTTAGTGACTAGAAGTAGAAGAAAGCCAGGAGGTGGTGGCGCACGTCTTTAATCCCAGCACTTGCGAGGCAGAGGCAGGCGGATTTCTGAGGCCAGCCTGGTCTACAGAGTGAGTTCCAGGACAGCCAGGGCTACACAGAGAAACCCTGTCTCGAAAAACAAACAAAAAACAAAACAAAAAAGTAGTAGAAGAAAAATGCAGAAAGGTTAAGAATAGGATGTCAAAAAAAAAAGGATTTTTTAAAAATGATTTATTTCATGTGCATTGGTGTTTTGCCTGCATGTATGTCTGTGCAAGGGTGTCAGATCCTCTGGAACTTTCAGGCAGTTGTGAGCTTCCATATGGATGCTGGGAATTGAACCAGGATCCTCTCAAAGAGCAGGCAGTGCTCTTTAAACACTGAGCCATCTCTCCAGTCCCAGGATTCTCTTTTAGGTGTGAGTACCAAGAAGACATTGTCTGACTTGGTATGTGCCACACATGATTAATAATCTTGCTGCCTATGACACAAAGTTTGAATTCTTAACTGCCAACTGATTAGCTATTTCAGTTTGAAAGTCACAAAGGGTGCACCTTCCCCTACACTGAGAATTTTCAGTCACTTCAGCATGCAAGGAAGGACAAAGATGTGTTTGTTGAGAGGTGAGTGATGATCTGCAGGAGCACTTTCATTAGAAATAGGAAGCTGGGTATTGTGGGTCATATCTGTAATCCTAACACTAGGAAAAGCTGAGGCAGGAGAATTGTTATTATTTTGGGGCCATACATTTGACAGTAAGACCCTACCTCAAAAAATTAATGCATAAAAATAAAATACAAATTATATATATATTTTAAATTTTCTACAGGGGCTGGTGAGATGGCTCATCGGATAAGAGCACTGACTGCTCTTCCAGAGGTCCTGAGTTCAATTCCCAGCAACCACATGGTGGCTCACAACTATCTTTAGGGAGATCTGATGCCCTCTTTGGGCAGGCAGATGTATATGCAGCAGAACACTCATACATTAAATAAATAAAATTTAAAAAAAAAAAAAAAAACCACTTCAGGTCTTCTTCAGATTGAATGCCTTTTTATCTTGGTCCTTTCTAAGAAGAAAAAAAAAAGTGAGGGTTAAATCTTCTAGTAGCCATTTTAAAAAGAAACAGGTGAAGTTTTAATGTTTTTAGTTAATCTGCTATATCCAAAATATTAACATTTCAGTGATATTTAAAGACTACTTAATAATTTTGCATACATTTTTGAAATCTAAGTGTATCTAACAGCATATGTATTTTGAGTGTTCAGTAGGCATCCCTAATGGATAGCACAGGTCTAAAAGTTACACAAGTGAAAAGAAAACACATAGAGACGTAGACAGCAGGTTCGTTCTTAGCAGCAGAGGAGGTTAAGTGTGGTTAGGTGTGGCTTATCATTGAACATGTCATGATGTAGAGAATAAGATTCGTTATTACTTGTGTGCGTATCTCTTGTGTGTGTGTGTGTGTGTGTATGTGTGCATGTGCGTGCACACATCCACGGAGACCAGCTGGAGACCAGCTGGAGACCAGAGGAAGAGCATGTGTGCTAGAAAACAAAGGTCCTTTAGAAGAGCAGCAGGTGGTCTTAATCATTCAGCCATCCAGACCCCCTCAGTTAACATTTTATTCTTGAATGATTCTTCTAAAGCCATAAGGAATGTCAGGTGTGTTTATGCACATGAACTACCACTACCTTTTAAGAGGACCAAGAATCTCAAAATATGATTCAGTGGTCCTTATTAAGAGCAGTAGAGAAGGACCCATGATTATATCCAGTGCTCAGTGAGTCCTTGTTAAATTTGAGATTGAGGGAACAGCTATGGGAGTGAGCAGCTCCACAAACGTCAAAGATCAGTACATGCTCTGAGCCGAGTCAGGTTTGATGTTCAACTGTGCAGTTCCTTATTTAAAACAGTCCAGTCCACCCTAACTTGGAAGAAAAAGAATGTTAACCCAACTGGCCTTCAGATATACATTTGTCCAGCGGCTTACATTTATGAAAAGCTTTCCCATGTGTTTCACAGATGATGGTAATAATAGCTGCCCTTCTGGTACTTGCAGGGAAAAAATATAAAATTTAGACCCAAAACCTTTAATAGCAAACACCAGATTAATATGGACTGATAAGCAAAGCAGTTGGCAACACAAAGCCCAGTTTAAGCTATTCCACTTTATTTTGCAGTACAGGAGCTTTGAACCCAGGTCCTTAGACATGCTAAGCAAGGGGTCCATCCCTGAGCGGGATCCTGAACCTGCTCCACCTTTCAGTAGTTAATTATTTTAGCTGAGTCACCTCTCTAAACTTGTTTGCTCAAATATCAAATGAAAATACATAATCCTCAAAAGGCTGTGGTGAGAATCTATGAATCATCTTAAATATAGAACAGAAAAAGCTTAATGAAAAAATAAGTTTTCTGTCAGTGAAGCACCAACTGGCTAGCAACTTGGCAATATGCAGAAGTTTAAGTTTATCAGTGGGAATGGTGGTTGAAGGGACTTCAGTTGTCCTTTTAAATGTCTGTGATGCCAGGAATAGGTTTAGGTTTCAACAGCACCAAAAATCAGGATTCACTGAGTTTTTTTTCTTGTACATTTTACTGTCTGCCTTGTGTTTCTACTTGCATTTCCACCATCAGCTGACTTCCTCCATTCGTGTGGATTTAAATACCACCTTTGTACTGAAGGCTCCAAGTTTATACCAATCTTGATGACCTTTCTCTTCTAGGACTTCAATCTACAGCCAGGGCAGAGTTTAGAGCATTCAGAGATCTTGAGACAAAGCCCTGATCACACCTTACCACAGTACCAAGCCATGCCTGGGTTGTATGAACTGGTAAATGCCACTCTTGTTTAAATCCTTGAGAAGTAGATTCCCGTTTGTAGGTTGACATCCTAACTATGAAATGGTGGTTTTCTGCCTCTTCTAGCATCTGCACCTACCTGCCTAACACTGTATTCAAAGGTTTAATAAGTGTTCTACATTTAATGAATTTCAAATAGCTTTCATTCTTTCTAAAAGAATGAGAACTGTTCTCACATGAACCCACCAACCTATCTAGGAGTTAAGACAGCCCCTGGGAGTGACTCATGCCCTTTCCTCCAAGTCTAGGGCATTAGTTAGGTCCGGTTCTGCCTCTAAAATAAGCCCAGAATCTCTACTTCTGTTTGCCTTGATTCTAGCCACTAATGTCTCTTAGTCCATGTTGCTTCTTCCCACTGCACAGGCACTATCTTTTAAAAAAGTATAGTAATCCTTTTTAAATGTTCTGTTGTTATTCTAAATCCCTTATTATGTTTCCATGACACTGAGAAAGAAAAGGCCAAGCCCTTAATAAGACTTCATGCCCTTAAGGGGTAGGTAAATAGCCCTTACAAGCTGTCTCAAATGAGCCCCACTGAGGACAGAAGGGGACAGCAAAACATCCTCCAAACCAGTAATATAATGAAATTGAATATGTGTAGCATCAGACATCAACATGCTGCAGACAATGACCTGCCCAGTAGCCCAGACTGGCCTAGGAGATTGCCAGTCATTGGCTCTTCACTGGGGATGTGGGAACTGCACTGTAAAGACCTTCAGACAGTTCTGCAGTGGCAGAAACCAGTGATTAACATGACAGAGAAACCTGTCAAACTAGGATGCCTCATCATCACTGTCAAGATGAAAGCAGCACATACTTACACACACATACGAGAAGCACTCGATAATACTAACAATAAACATTCACTGAGCATTCCTTTTTCATCAACTACC